TTGTAGTCCTCTGTGATTTAAGATTCTTGTATGTTGATTTGTTTAGCTGTAATTTTTTCTTCTTTACTGAGCATGATATAATATGTAAATATACCACAATTTATTTATCCATTCTCCTACTGATGTGGGTGGCTTCCTTTTTTTCCCTGCTATTTCAAATACTGCTGCTATGAACAATGTCATATATATCTCCTAGTACAGATAAATATGCATACATATCTATATGTATATCTCTATATATATACTTATATATATATAAGTACAGATAGACATATTTATATCAATCTATTATCTATCTATATATCTATCTATGTAAACGTTCTCTACAGCAGGGCTTCCCTGGTGGCGCAGTGGTTGGGAGTCCACCTGCTGATGCAGGGGACAGGGGTTTGTGCCCCAGTCCGGGAGGATCCCACATGCCACGGAGCGGCTGGGCACGTGAGCCATGGCCGCTGAGCCTGCGCTTCCGGAGCCTGTGCTCCGCAACGGGAGAGGCCACAACAGTGAGAGGCCCGCGTACCGCAAGAGGCCCGCATAACACAAGGGAAAAAAAAAAAAAAAAAAAAAAAAAGTTCTCTACAGCAGTGGCTTTCAGATTTTTTACCTTAATCATAATATATTTAACCTATGTGTGACATAACGATATTTTCTATTTTATTTCAACTTTAAACAATGCTGACTGCAATCCACTAAATGGATTTCATACATCGCAAATGGGACAACCCACAACTCGAAAAACATTGCTGTAAGACAGCAGTCCTCAAACATTTTGGCCTCAGTGAACACTTTACACTCTGAAAAAGTACTGAAGACCCCAAAAAGCTTTAGTTTATATGGTTATAGATATATGGTTATATCTATCAATATTTACAATAGAAATTAAAATGGAAAAAATAAAAATATTTATTAATTTATTTAAAAATAACAGTAAAAAAACCTATGTTACAAACGACATTTTCTAAAATTCAAAATAGCTACATTTTAAAAAAAAGTTTAGTTGAAAGGAGAGAAACTATTTTACATTAAATTAAAAACTTTAATGGCTAGCTTAACAGAAGACAGATTCTCATATCTGCTCCTGTATGCAATCTATGGCTATATATTGATTTGGCTGAAGTATATGCAGAAAATCTGACCTCACACAAATGATACATAATTAGAAAAGGGAAGAGTATTTTAACAGTATTTACAGGTAATTGTGGATATCCTTTTTTAATGCCACACCAAAAGTGGACAATTGGTAGTTTCTTAAATGTTAGCTGTAATGTGGAATCTGAAACCATATCCGTGAACTTTTCATAATCTGTTCCATTAAAATCCATTGGCCTGCCTTGTAATTTATTTATTTTTTTAAACATCTTTATTGGAGTATAATTGCTTTACAATGGTGTGTTAGTTTCTGCTTTATAACAAAGTGATCAGCTATATATATATATATATATATATATATATATATATATATATATATCTCCCCATATATCCTCCCTCTTGTGTCTCCCTCCACCCCTGTCCTGCACTTTAAATGGATCTTTTATCCATACTTGATTTTCTAATCATCACGGGTCATTTGGAAAATATTGATTCACTGAGTTAGGAAGATCTTTTCAAATATTGGCACATTGTATCACATAATGTGAAAAGATGACTTTGATATCATTACTCATACCAGGAAAGTCTTTAAAGTATTGGAAAGCTGTCAAGCTCACAGTAGGGGAAACAGCATTTCTAAAAGCCTTAAATCTTCACTTGAAAGTTTAAATTTTATAACCGACAATAAACACTATCAGTTGTTTTTCTTAAAGAGTCAGAGTTGCTTCATTTGCTTCTGAAACATTGTTTGCAAATACTCAAGTCTGAATAACCATATTTTGTTAGTCATTTAAGTAAAAATGGTACTACATGAAAAATTGCTAGTTCAGCTTGCAAACCAAACAACTGTAGTAAGTGCTTTTCTTCAGGATAACCATCATGCTTTGGCAAACACAAGTGCTTTACGAATATTTCCTATTTGTCACATAGAATATTAAAAAGATATGTACTCAAAATTGAGATTCAATAAATTAATATTTAATTATCTAAATATTTAAATTAAATTACATAAAATGTAAAAATGGCATGTTTTTATGGTGAGTACAGGGTGGTGAAGAATTCAATGACTATTATATGATTTGGTGCCACTGCCTTGATTCATATTGAGGCATCAGCAATTTTACCCACCATTATTTTTATACTATCAGTGTAATGCTGACACAGTGAAAAAGGCAAACAATATGTCAGTATTATTCAGACCCTCTGAAAGGATCTTAGAGACCATGGACCATACTTTAAGAACCATTGCTCTAGGATTTATACTTGGCAATAGAATTGCTGAACTGTAGGACATGTGTACCTGGCTTTATTATTTTTATCATTTTATTGATTATTTTTAATGCCTCGCCTTTCAACCTGTTTTTCAAACTAGGTTTAACAGCACTTACACCAGCAGTTCTTTGTTCCACCTACATACCAACAGGTTTGATGGATTTTTTAAATGGGGTGAATGATGGCTCCCCAAAAGATGTGTCCATGTCTCAACCCCCAAAACCTGTGAATATAATCTTATTTGGAAAAAAGGTCTGTGGATGTAATTAAGTTAAGGATCTCATGATGAGATCATCCTGGATTATCTGGGTAGGCCCTAAATTCAGTGACAGGTTTCCTTGTGAGACAAAAGAGGAGAAGGACAGACATGTAAGAGAAGACTGTGTGAGACTTAGTTAGGCAGACACGAGCAATGTCTATAGCATACCACCAGAAGCTGGAAGAAGGAAGGAAAGAACTGTCTTCTTGACCCTTCAGAGGGAGCACACAGTCCTGCCAAAGCCTTGATTTTGTACTTCTGGCCTCCAGAAGTGAGAGAATAAAAAAAAGTTTTAAGCCACCAAATTTGCGGTAATTTGTTATGGCAGCCCTAGGAAATGAACACAGGCATGCAATGGTATGTCTTTATGGTTTTTATGCTCTGATTACTAATGAAGTTGAACACCTTTTCATATGTTTACTGACCGTTTGGAGTTTCTTATTTGTGAACCATTTGCTCTTCTGCCTGTTTTTTTTAATGTGGTTGTCATTTTATTATTGATTCATAGCAGTTGCTTACATATTCTTGATACTATTCCTTTGTCAGTCATATGTATTGCAAATATCTTATTTTGTTTTTACTTTCTTTATATGTATTAATGAACAGAAATTCTTAATTTATTAAAGTGAAATTTATCAATCTTTCCCTTTATGATTTCTGTCTTGTATAACGTTAAAGAAATCTTTCCCTCCCCCGATGTCATAAAGATATTCTCTTATATTGTCTCTAAAAGTTTTATAGTTTAATCTTCACATTTACACCTTTCTCCCTCCTTGAGATCGATCTTTTTATACTGTCACGTAGGGACACAACTTTTTTTTAACCTCGCACAAAATTTATTGGAGAGTCCCTCCTTTATTCACTAGTCTCCTAAGTTACCTGTGTCAGAAGTCAACTTTCCATATATGCACAGGTCTTTTTTGAGCTATCTGTTTCATAATCTATTTGTCTCTGATAACAAATATCAAATTGTCTTAATTATTATACTCTTAGAGGTGTTGAAACTGCTAAGTTCCTGCATTTTGTGGTTCTTCTTTAGGAATGTCTCTGCTTTTTGGTCCTTTGCTCTTTCATATAAATTTTATTTTATTTTTATTTATTTTAATAAATTTACTTATTTATTTTTGGCTGTATTGAGTCTTCGTTTCTGTGCACGGGCTTTCTCTAGTTGCAGTGAGTGGGTGCTACTCTTGGTTGCGGTGCGTGGGCTTCAGGAGTTGTGGCTCACGGGCTTAGCTGCTGCAGGCATGTGGGATCTTCCCGGACCAGGGCTCAAACCCGTGTTCCCTACATTGGCAGGCGGATTCTTAACCACTGTACCACCAGGGAAGCCCTCATATAAATTTTAAAATGAGCTTGTCAAACCCTACAAAGAAATTTTGCCAGGTTTCTGATTTAAATTGTCTTGAACCTACCAATAAGTTCAGAGAGAATTAACATCTTTATGACACTGAAGCTATCTGTGAATATGGTAAAGTTCTATTTATTTTGGTCTTCTCTAACAAAATTAGTCTCCTAATAAAAAATTTGGTCTCCTAATAAAATTATAAATTTTTCTTCGTAAAGATCTTCAATACTTATCGTTAAATTTATAAATGGCATCTTTTAATAATTAGATTTTTCTAACCAATTTTTGCTTATCTACAGACATGCAACTGAGTTTTGTTTATGGATTTTATATCCACAACCTTGCTAAACTCACTAATTCTAATAACTGACATGTAAATGCTGGATTTTCTATGTGCATAGTCTTCTCATCTGCTCTTCTCAATAAGATAATGAGAGTTTTGCTTCTTCCTTTCACTCTGTAAGTGAAAATAAGCATCTTTTTGTCTGATTTCCAAATTCAAAGGGAAAACTTTCTATGTTTTATAACTGGGGAAAACTTTCTATGTTTTATTATTAAGTAGGAAGTCTGCTGCAGGTTTACTTTTTTGTTTTCATTAATAGATATCCTATACTGGGTAAAGAAAGTCCCCTTCTATTGCTAATTTGATCTGAGATTTATTTGTTTTATTCCAAAGGCTTTTTTGGATTTTATCAAGTGATTTTTCTGAATCCACTGAGATATCATGTAATTTTTCTCCTTTAATCTGTTTAAGTAATTCACCACATTATCAATTTTTAGTATGTGTTAAACCCCACGTGGTCCTAGAACAACCCATTTCCATTTCATAGAATTTACCCAGTTCTTCTAAGTTTTCAAGTATATTAGCATAAAGGTATTCACAGTATTCTCTTATCTTTTCAATATCTGTAGCATTCATAGTTGTATCACCTTCTTCACCCTTAATCATTCACCATTTTTTAAAATAATTAAGTAAATCTTTCAGTTACATTAGGCTTTTAGTATGTAGTCTGAATAGTTAGTCTTTATTACCTTTCTGTTCTGCTCTCTGGTCCTCCAGTTCTTTCTTAGGAGTTTTAGGTTTTATCAATTCTTTGTCCCAGGCAGCCAAAGCTTGTTTCTCCATTTGACGAATTTCTGCTTCCTCTGCATCTAAACGTCTCTTCCACTCTAGTAGCTCCTCTGCATGTTGGCGCCGTTGCATTAGTTTTTGCTCTCGCTTTGTCAGAAACCTATGGTCACACCATGAAAAACAGTGAGAGAACAAATCTATAGGCAGAAATCACTTTGAGAGCTTTATTACTCATTACGTTATCAACAAGTTGTATAAAACAGGACATTCATAGTATTCCTCTGAAAAAAGTTTGAGATAATAGGAGCTTTGGTGAGTGATTGTATTCAGCAAATAAGAGAATTTATTTATTTTACTTGTAATTAATTATTTGGAAATTTAGCAAAGGAAAAACTGTGGGGTAATTTCAGGAAAAAAAAATCTTCAGAATATTTGGCTAACCATGACTGACAGTACTTAATGTATTCATTCTTCACAGGTGATTCTTTTTCATAACAGAAGATACAAGGAATTTATTCTGAAGGCTAAGACCAGAAAACACACAAACTCAAAACAACGAAGACCAAAACAACAACAAAAAAAACAACCCCCAAAATCCCAAACAAGCAAGCAAACAAAAAACCTGTTCATGTCCCTTTTTGATTTTTATATTCAAATTCAGTCTGGTTTTGCTTCAGGTATAGTAAGTTTGGTTCCCATTACCTGGGAAATGCAATGTTAGGTGATAGTCTATCTGTTTTTCATGGAGAGAACACTGAGAATCACAGTCAGATGCCTTATGCATAAAACATGACTATTTATTTACTTAAGTAAAAGGATGCACCAAATGCCTCAAACTTCTCAATTTAATCCAATCTCTGGAATTAAATAGCCTAGTATATCTTAGCTCCAAAGGGTTAGGGGACATAAATGATTTAGGAAGTTATTTGAGTAGTTAAAAAGCTACTATTTGCTCTCCTCAAATGTAGACGCCACAGCTAAATGAAAGGTGGGCTGCTCATATTGTAAGTGTTAGATCTGTAGTGGTAGCTAATCAACAAAAATACATTCACATATCCAACAAACACTTAATAAAAAGCACAAGAACTATCACTCCACTTCTTAAACAATCAGCATGTCAAATTAATGTGGAAACAAAAAGGTAAAATCTATGGGACATTTGACAAGAGGCCCCTAGGCTGTTAGAAAAAAAAAGAAAGAAAAAAAAGCAATAAAAACAAACAAAAAGAAAAGAGCATGCTCTATCAAAGAGTGCACTGAAAAAGGTGCAAAGTTACCTGACCAACTGGTTGTAGATATACAGCTGGAATTTGGGATGAAGGTTGGGAAAACAGACACTGAGAGAGGCCCAGTGATGAGACGTAAAGACAGAGAAGAAGTAGTGAACAGGAGAGCAGTGTCTACAAAATAAGGAGGAAGATTTTAAAACCAAGAGATCAAGAGGCAGAAAGAATGAAAAAGGGAAAGCATAAGAGCTGAGTGCAGAACTTTTTAATATGCTTCCTGAATAACATTATAAGCTACTCAGTTAAAGCAAGTGTTATACTTTGTATGACATATAAAACATATACTTTTATAGATCTTACCAAAGATTTCTGAACATACGTGCCTTTCTTCTCAGCTCCTGCTTAACCATCATGTATACTTTCAGGTAAATTTATTTGTTTGTGAGTAGAGTAATGAGAAGTAGAGTGTGAAGCTAAATAAGTTTTCTCATAAGCTTTAACACAGAGTACAACAATTATGGGCATGAACCTACCATATCAGCAATTGTATATACATATGTAATTCTGAATGAGTAGTTTTTATATCTGTACCTTGTCATGTATTTTAAGCTTGAATTTAAATTTAAAAAGCAGTACATTTGCCTTACTTAACCTTACCATTATAATCTAAGCTTGAATATAGTTATATAGTTTAGAAAGTCAATTTATAGTAAAAATACCTTGTTCACATCTACAACATAAAACTTACTGTCATCAGGACCTACTGGAGGTATCTTGCTTTATATTTAACAAAGGCCCACTTAAATAATAATACTGAAATACAATACCCATTCTATAAAAAACCAGGATGCATAATTAAGAATAAACTAAGCTAGTTCCAATAAATACTACGAGTAGTAAAAAAAAAAAAAAAAAAAAAAAAAAAAAAAAATCATGCTGTGGACAATTCAATCAATCATAAGGTTAAAAGTAAGAAGAAATTCCACATGTTAAACTTATAAAAGTAGGAAAAAACCAATTGTTTCTCTCTTTTTTTAATAGTAAATAGACCATTGTATATATGAAAGGATAAATAAGTCTAATAAAAGGTTTGGAAAGGTTAATTCTCTTTGACAGAGCATGCTCCTGTTCACATGCACACAACAATAACTTGTAGATCAAGGCAACATTTATTGCCTTGGAAAGGCAAGGAATAATACCAGTAAGTCAAAGAAGTGAGAAAATCTAGGTACGAATCCAGTCATTCATTTGAATTTTAAAAAGTATGTAGAATCTTGACTACATGTATATCTTTAGATAACAGATGATTTCAGCGTCTGTTTCTCCACATACAACTTAGTATTTCACCTTCCCTCTGTTCAGTTACATACTCGCTCTATCTCTTTCTTTCCCTCTCTCCCTCCCTCCCTCTCTCTCTCCTCTCTCTCTCTCTCTCTCTCTCTCTATCATATCTGGATTGCCTTGATTTTCTGCACTGAAGTTTTTGTGCAATTTTGCCAAGTTTCAATAAGACACTGCAATCTTCCTTGCCATTCTTTATGAATGTATAATAAACTTATTTTGATGCCAATTATGCAAAAACAAATGTACTTGGAAAAGGTCCAAAAAAATCTATTCATAACATTCAAATATCACCCACCCTCTCAAGTATATAACTGCTAAATGCATGCATGACCTAGTACAAAAAGTAGAACATTGGAAGATGTGAAATAAACTGTAAAAAAAATACATATTAAATTTTTTTGTCCAACCCAATATAGAGGATAATAATTTTCTCTATTAGAACAAATACTAATCATTTACTTTTCATTTACAAAGATTAAGCATATTCAAAAGCTCTAGGTTAGAAATGAACAACAAAAGAAATGGCTAAAAAATAAAAAAGAAAAGAAAATGGTTTAAGAGACAGTGTAAGAAAAGTTTAACTTAAAGTTGGAACTTCATCCCAGAAACACATGTTCCTTATTTAATAAACATACATTCTAGAATTCAAGAGTCTCTTAAAAGTTGTATAAAATTGAGATAAAAGAAGCAGTAGCACTTCACACTAGAGTTAACCATCCTTCAAGATGCTGCACAAGTAAGAAATAAACAAAATTTGTGAATGATGGAAACATAAATGACTATTAATAGAAAATGCTACTAATACACTTTATGGCTATTATCAAGGCATTCCCCAACAAGGCCTCTGACAGTTACAGAACACTGGACTAGGATGAGACATATGATAGTTTTAATCTAGTATGGAAATAATTATGTTCCTATAATGTTTAAGCTTTAGAAATTCAAAAGTAAGTAATATACTTTTAAAGTCCAAATTTTACACTCTAAACTTTAGCTATGCAGCTATGCAACCGTAGTAATCAGGCACTGAGCACCTTGCCAGTTTCAACAAATACTATTTTGAAGGGTCAATTTCTACTGAGATACCTTTCAGTCATCAATGCAGTTATTTAAAAAAACTACAAGGTTGGAAGCAGATGTGCTAACTCAGTTTTTCACTTTAGCTGGCTGATGTCCAGAGAGTAGGGTTCTAGTTCTTCTAGCTCTGCCATTATGCTACCTGACCTGGGACAAGGCATTTAATCTCTGCAGGCCTCAATTTCTTCCTGTAGAACCAAGGGACTATACTAGATGACCTCCCTAAGGACCGACTAGTTCCAACATTTTATGATTCCTTCTTCATTTAAGTACTTCCTCACACTTTTTAAAATACATACCTCAACACACTGATAGACCATGTGACATAAATGAGAAGCTTTTATCCTCAATAAGCTAATATAATTGTAGACTGTGTTCCAATAGATTCTAAAAGCATGCTACAATTTGAAACAGCAAAATTATGATCTAAATTTTAAATAGAACTTCCAGTTCTAAAATCATTTGATTATGAAAGATGTTAAACAAAATAAAAACTTAATACCTTAAATTATTTTAAAATTCTTTCTGGATCTAAACAATTCTTTAACTCTATACTGTTACAAGTAAAAATGAAAACTAGTGCTTTTAATTATAAAATGGATCAATTCTTTTAAGTACTTAAGCATTTTTAACAATATTCAAAAAGGAAGATAAATGAGCATATGGATAGTACTGACCTAAAAGAAAATACAGTCTATTTTTCCTACAGCAAAATCTATTCTATTAAATTGTTCAATAATCTGCATATACTTAAATAAATTAAATAATACAGGTACATCATCCCTAATCTAGGAAGAAAAAAAAAAGCACACTATCAGACTATCAGGATTTATTCATCCACTACACTTAATCTAGAACCTTCTCTAAGAAAACTATATTTCTAATTTAAGGCAATGATATTTAATACATTGTTTAAAATTTTAATAAAAATGTCTTCTTTAACGGAATAGCAAAAGCCTTCACTTGCAAATGCAAAGTATTTAACTCTGAACACTCATCAAGAAAATTTCCTTGATATATATACTCTTTTCAGTAAAAATTTCTTCCTCTTCTGAGCTTCCTTAGCAATAGATTTTTATATACTTCACTAAAGGAACCTGATATTTCTTCTTTTTTCCACCTATACTATAAGCTTTTCAAGGGCAGGGTTTATGTCTGATTCATCTTCATATCCCTCAGAACCTACTATATTCACACATTTCCCAAAAAATAATTGCTGAGGGAATAAGTATATAATTAATAAATAGTACAGAAGAACAAGCTGCTATTAACAAATGAAAGAAAAAAACGCATTGTATCCTATTTTAACACTTAAAGAAGAAGATAAACACCATTCCTTCAGTGTTTCATTTGCTCAGTAAATAATTTTCCTAAAACAGAATTGGCAAATTAACAGGAAGAGTCAACTGTATGTTTTTTTCCCCGAATATCTGTTTCACAACTTTATACTGTAAATCATGCCCCTCACAGAAGTAAACAAAACTCAGATTTCATTTACCAATAATTATCAAAAAACTGAGGGCTAGTCAGTCTGCGGCTTTTGCAAACATATTTTCATTATTAGTAACCTCTTTCATAGTTTAAATTTCTTTTGCTCTTAACTATAGAAATGGAAATTATTTCTAAAATGTCAACTCAGTACACAGGTCAAGAAAAGCCATAGAGGGGCTTCCCTGGTGGCGCAGTGGTTAAGAATCTGCCTGCCAATGCAGAGGACACGGGTTCGAGCCCTGGGCCGGGAAGATCCCACATGCCACGGAGCAACTAAGCCCGTGTGCCACAACTTCTGAGCCTGCTGCGCTCTAGAGCCCGCGAGACACAACTACTGAAGCCCACACACCTAGAGCCTGTCTGCCGCAACAAGAGAAGCCTCTGCAATGAGAAGCCCGTGCACTGCAATGAAGAGTAGCCCCTGCTGGTCACAACTAGAGAAAGCCCGTGCACAGCAACAAAGACCCAACTCAGCCAAAAATAAATAAATAAATTTATTTATTTATTTTTTAAAAAAGAAAAGCCATAGATTAGAAATACAAACTTTAACAAAGGCATTGTTGTCTCAGTGAAACATTGAAGAAGGAAATCTTTCACTGGAGCCAAGAATAGTTTGACCACTTTGGAAAAATATTTATCACAGAATCAAAGTTCAGAGAGTTAACAATAAGCAGTAATATATATGAAAAAGTTCCTCCCAAAGTTAGCTAAACTTATTGAGAAGGGTGACTATTTTCTGACAAGTGTTTTATATTAGTAAAATAGTAATCTCTTAGAAGATGGCCTTTTCTAATTTACAAAACAAATAACAGTGCCCAGTAGCAAAGGCTCAAATAATTTTATTAGTTATCTACTGTAGCAAATGACTACAAAAATTAGTTTTCACATTACAGTGGATCCCTGAACAGTGAGTGGGTTTGAAATGCATAGGTCCACTTACATGTGAATATTTTTCAGTAGCAAATACTGCAGTACTGCAATGATTTGTGGTTGGCCGAATCCGCAGATATAGAACTACAGATACAGAAGAACCACATACATAGAGGAACCACGATTATGGAGGGCCGACTACGCAAGTTTTAGGCAGATTTTCATCTATGCGGAAGGGCAGCATTGCTAACACAACCCCCAAGCTGCTCAAGGACCAACTGTGCTTTGTTCTGGAGATCAAAAAAAATTAACATAATCTCCCTTTTTAATGCACTGCTAATTTTGGAAAATATTCCACTTCATCCTCAAATTTCAGCATTATCTTCCAAACATTAAAACTAATTTCTCTGCAACTACTGTCCTTACCCCAGCCCTACCACAAACACAACTGCATTGCTTCAAACAACAAATCAATAAGTCACTGAATGCTTCAAGGCCTTTTCTCAAAAGTTTACTGCAGTAGTTGACAAAGGAAGGTAAAGCAATGATAAAAAAAAATTCTAGGTCTTTAGTATTTTGGGCTCTGAGAAAATAAATAACAAAACTTAGAACAAAGTCAATAAATTCAACCTTTAACTTGTTATTTAGGGTTTTTAAAGTTTTAACCAAATCTCAAATAAACACCATATAAACTGACTAATCTCACAAACAGAATAGGATTAGCAGTTCCTTCCATGGATGTGATTAAAATTATTAGAATATTACTCATAGAGACCAGCAATGAAGATTTTACTGGTATAGACAAACAAGGAATCGATGAAGAAATTTCCCTTGAAGCTGTCCTTCCTCCAACATTTATGATCCAAAGGCATTTAGAGGCAGATATAAAATGCCAAATCAGTGATAAAAATTTATGAGATAGATTATTCTGAATTCAAAGATCCCTGGAGCAATCCAGTATGTCCCACACAGGCTACTGGAAATTTTTATCAGAAGTAAAAAAGAATTCCTATTTGAATAGTCTTAATTGCTCTATCCCATGGAAATCATACAAAAGGTACACTTACACATTTGTAATTATTCAGTTTTCACCCCCTTATATTTTTTATTTTAAAAATTTCTATTTATTATTTAAACTTATCTTCATAATCAATTTAGGTATTTTTAAGTTATCAAATGCCAATTTTAAGTTACTGAAGTGCAATTTCAATTAAGCAATGAAGTGCCAGCATACAACACTGTACCTATAGTAAGTAAGGTTTGACTTACAACTGCTTGACTGTTCAGAAAATAACTAAATCATAGGTTGATGTCACATATAAACAGAGTATTATTAAATTTGGTGATGGGCAGTATACTGCCGAAGGATATCAAGATACAACTTAAGTTTAATCTGTGGTTCAAATTGCTAACTTAAAATAAAAGAGCAGTCAACAAAAATTTTAATGGACCTCTCTTCTATATTTAAAAAAGGTAGAAAATAGTCCACAAGCAGCTACTTCATAAGCGTATTTAATCAAATGTACACGCAAAGGAGTAAACTCTCATGTAAATGTCACTTGGTACGGTCAAAGCTGACACATAATTGAGCTATATCTAAGTAAGAGTAGCTTTCTTTAAAAGAGTCTTTAAAAAATTAATACTTAGAAATGTTTTAGAAGAATGGTAGACTGCCAAATCATTCAACATCCCAGGAGAATTTCAGACTTTCTGGTTTTAAATGAGCAATTCAGACCCACTCACAAGGTTAAAATTTCACTCTTCTTTGAGTAACCCTGACAGTTGTCAGTCACAGGATGAGATCTCAAGATATACCATTAAGTTGCTCCCTCAAGTCAGTGGACATGTCCTCAGATTTCAGAAAAGGTAAAAATTTCACACTTACTCATAACTTTTAATAAAAGAAAGGAGAAAACGTTGTCATGGGTATATGTGCAAATACTATTTTGGTTTTTAAAATAAGAAACCTGTGTGTATTTAAGATTAAGAAAATTTGTTTTATAATTTGTTTTATAAATTTGTTTTATAAATAAGGTCTACAGTTAACTGACTTCTAGGATGACTTAATAACTGCTAAAATGCAACTGAATCCATAAAATATTATGTATCAATCTAATCTAATGAAATACATTAAAAATATTATTTGTTGCTACTACTTTCAGTGTAAATAGGAGATATTTTTTAAAATGAATTACTTTTCATCCATGCGGCTTCTCATTTTCTTCAGTTTCTGCATAATGCTGCTAGTTTCACTGCTGGAGATTGAAATGGGGGAAGGACTGCGGGTCTCCAAGTCAGTTGGAGCAGGACTGGTTGCCTTATTATCCTTTGTATCATCATCACTATGAGAGTCCTGCAAACAATAGGGTATAGTAGAGTATTATAATTATACTGGAATTTAAGATCTCAAACTGATTTAAACACTGTCATTTCAAAATTAATTTATCATCTTCAAAACAGTATTTGTAAAATAGCTAAAATTAAGGTATTACTTAAAGGACAAAATTATATCACACAAGTAAAATGTATATACATGTACTTATATAGTCCCTAGATTTGTTGCTTAGGAGCAACAAAACCTGAATAGCAGTGAGCATGCTTAGCACCAGATCTTGATTTCTAAATAACTATCCTCCTTGGAGAAACAGCTGATTCCAAGGCTGAGGCAGGGAAAGTAAAAGGTGACCCTGAAACATCTTGTTCCAGAAAACATGAAAGTGCTCAAAGACTGCTGGGTACATGTCAAAAGGACACAGAAACCTGCTTGAAGAGGCTCCTAATGGCCCAATTTGAGAAAAAGTGAGCATCAAAACAATGATAGTAACAGATTATAATGCTGAGTAAAACACAAATCCGTGAGTCCATACTGATATAAATAAAAGAATAAATTTAACTTTGAAGAAGAACAGGAATGTATGTAGCCTCAAAATACCTTCATGTAATGCACTTATTAATTACAAAGAGAAAGAGAGTAACTATACAGTGAAGTATGGTAGATGCCACCTTAATCAAATGTTCGAGTTAACATCATCAGTAATGAGCTAAATCAAAATCAGGTGCCACCTGACTGAATGCAGAGAACAACACAGCATCACTTCCGTGATATTCCTGCCAAAGATGCACAACCTGAATCTAATTATGAGGAAAGATCAGACAAACCCAACTTGAGGACCATTCTACAAAATATCTGGCATGTAATCTTCCAAAGTGTGAAGGTCATGAGAGTCAAGGAACTTTTCCAGACTGAAAGAGATTAAAGAGATATGAAAACTAATGTGTCAATATTAATTTGTTGGCAACGTAACTCTCGACTGAGAAAATCAAAGCTCTTTGTACTGTTTGAAATTTTCTACAAATCTGAGATTGTTTCAAAATTTAAAGTGTATTTTAAAAATCAAAGCAGTGAATATTAAGAGATTTACTGTATTGCTATATAGGCTGAGTTTTCCAACACTATATTGACACTTTACAGCATTTCAGAATAGGTCCAAATTTTGTTTTTGTCTGAATATCTCCTTTGAACCTTGTATCATTATATTAGGCATTAGACAGCTGACAAAAGTATTATGTAAAGAGCAAAAATAATTAATTCCTCCCATTAATTCTGAGGAATATATTTGGATTGAATATATTCCCATTAATTCTGAGGAATATATATTGATATTGATATTTGGATTGATAAGCAAAAACAAGGCTCTCTGTCCCAACTGAATTTATAAATGGAAAACATTTTTAAACTAAAATATGACCTACATGTCCCTTTCAAAACCTGAATATCCCATGAGAGTAAAAAAAAGACTCTCACTTTATATAAAGGCACATACATAGAACTTTATCCTGGTGCATTACTGTATCACAGTGCTAGAATGAACACACCCACCATATTAGAAGATGAGGTAGAGTTAGGTATTAGCAAGCAACATGAGGCAGAAAACAAATTAATAATAATTTCATGTAATTTACCAATTTATTCTCCCCTGCAGACTTCAACTTCTCCTGCAGTTTTATGGTGGTCTGTCGGATCCTTTCTATCTCCTCCTGCTGTTTAAGAATCAGCTGTCTTTCCTTCCGAGCTGCCTTATTGGCTTCCTGAAGACGTTTAATTTCTGCCTAAAGTTTAAAGAGTTAGGCGAGGGATTGAAATTTGGAGGAGACAAGTCCAAAATAATATTTTAAAAAGAAAATCCAATCATCACATATATCAAAAATAAATACATACAGCATTTCAAGATAAAAATAATAATACTGAAAAATTTTTAAGCAGTGGAGGAAGAAAAAAAGTCACATAACTCCATCACTCTAAAATAATTTAACATGATTCCTTAATTCAATTATAATTACAACAGACTGATAATTTCATATCCCTTTTTAAAACTTAACATACCCCTTCATATTTTTCCATAGTGCCATTTAGTCTTTACATTTATTTAATAACTGCATATCAAGTAAACTAATTAATGTAACCATTATTCTATTGCTAAACTCCATTCCGAATAGTGCTTTAATGCCTATAAATTGTTTCATACTATGGATTAGTTCTTTAGGAGAGATTCCAAAAAGTAGGACAAACAAGTCAAAGAGAATGAATGATTTTATGACCCTTAGAATAGTTTCTAAAATTGCTTTCAGAAAAGAATTTTCTCCACATAAAATGCCACCAGAAACATTTAAGACTACATTGCACCAAACTCTCTCCACACAGGATATTACTGTTTTCTTTTGCTAATAGTGCGCAAAAAATGATACACTTCACTGTTAATAATAAAATTTAACAGACTGTCCATTTTTTTCATAAATTTGTTGTAATCTGTTCTCTTGTCAATAAAGTAAGCATAATAAAGATATTAATAACTTGTTACAATTTATTTAAATTTTAAAAAGAGATCTTTTAAACTATCTGAAAATGCAGAAAAGTGCACAATAAACATCTAATTCCAAAATCCCAAATTAACAATTGTTAATACTGTCACATTTTCTCTTAGTCTTTAATTTCATAAAGAAATAAAAGATTACAGATAACACCAGTCTACAATTCCCTGCTCCAACTCCCTAGAGGTAACCACTATCATGGTATATATCCTTCCATGGTATACATCCTTTTAAAATTCTTCTACAAATATTTGTACTTACCTGCAAAAAAATATATACTGTTTGGTTTGTATGTTTTAAAATATTTTATGTTATATCATACATATATTTTTTCAATCTTGCTTTATTTACTAAACATTGCTTTTATATGTCTCCATGTTGATGTGCCCCTAAATGCTGCATAAATTTACACTGGAGGTATACAGATTTCATGTATCTATTACCTCTATGGTTAGATAAGGTTGTTGTCTACTATTACAAACAATACTATAATCAATAGCCTTATACTTCTTGTCTACTTGGGCACGTGTATGAATTCCTCTCAAGCACCAGTTCTCGAAGTATGGTCCAAGGACCCTGAAGCTTCTTCTGGAGACTCTCAGGGTCAAACTATCTTCATAATACTAAGACAAGACACTATTTGCCTTTTCACTCTCATTCTCTCATGAGTGTACAATGGCATTTATTCACATTTTGAAGAAAATAACTATATTTTTCAAAACAAACAAAATTAGTGAAAATAGTATGTAGTAGATGTTTGCACATCTCTTTACTGTCTGGCTTGTTTTTTTTTTTTTTGGTTTGGGTTTGTTTTTTTTTTTTTAATTGAAGCATAGCTGATTTATAATACTGTGTTAGTCCCAGGTGTACAGCAAAGTGATTCAGTTATACACTAATTTTTTTTCAGCTTATTTTCCATTACAGGTTATTACAAGATATTGAATATAGTTCCCTATGCTATACAGTAAATCTTTGTTGCTTATCTATTTTATGTATAGTAGTTTGTATCTGTCAATCCCATACTACTAATTTATCCCTCCCCATCTCCGTGGCTCGATTTTTTTAAAATACCATGCATTGCTCATTTGGAAAATGTTTAGTTCACTCAGTTATGCAGATCTTCCAAATGTTCACATATTTCATTATACAATCCCCCCAAATCACATTTATTAATATCACTGTGATCTCGAAAAAAATTCTTTAGTATTAGGTGGTAGACAGGAATTTTTCAAAATTCTGACATTTGCTTGAAAGTTTGAACCTTATCATTGGCAACAAACACTGTCAACTGCCTTCTTTGAAGTGACAAGCACACTTTGTTCATTTTTGAGAAAATGATTATCAAATACCCTAATCTGAACAAACATAGTTTGTCTCTGAATAACTCTTTCAAGTAAAAATGGAATTCCATGAAAAATATCTGGCTAGCTCAGCTTGCAATTCAAACTACACAAATGCTTTCCCATGAGTTAATCACCTTCCTCTGGTATCTAGGAAAAGTGCTTAATTGTGGGCTTCCCATTCCTGTCACGGAGAATATGAAAACAAGTACTCAGAGGTCAACACAATAAAATTAATAATTTTTACTACTTAATCAGGACATTCTTTAGTAGAACTAGATTTTTTTCGCTGCAAGTATGTGGCAGTGGAAGATATAATGACTACTAGTAGTTTCGTGCCCCTGCCCTGATCTGTGCTAAGGCACCAGCAGTTTTACCACCATTGTTTTTGCACCATTTAGTGCAAATGTCAACACATAAAAAGGGCTAATTCACATCTCACTATCCTTATGAAAATAGTTTTGATCTCCCTGACCCATGAAAGGGTCTCAGGAATCCCCAGAGCTCTACAGAACACCTTTTGAAAACTGCTACTAGCTTAGGCCTGAGTTTCTATACCAATTAATGTATAATTTCACCCAATCCAAGCTTAGAAGAAAGAAAAGATTTTTTTCAAGGGGTTCTAAGAGGAAAGTGTTTGCATCTCTCTTAAGAATAAGCCATAAGGTTGTACAAGTAAACTGTTCACTTTAAAATGGTTAATGGTGGGATTTCCCTGGTGGTTCAGTGGGTATGACTCCACGCTCCCAATGCAGGGGGCCCGGATTCAATCCCTGGTCAGGGAACTAGATCCCACATGCATGCTACAACTAAGAGCCTGCAAGCCGCAACTAAGAAGCCCACATGCTGCAACTAAGACCCAACACAGCCTAAATAAATAAATATTTTAAAAATAAATAAATAAATAAAATGGTTAATGGTATATTCATTTTAAAATGGTTATTTTATGTTATGTGAATTTCACCTCAAAAAAAAAAAGAATAAGGAAAATATGTTCCTGTTGGATACAGCTGTGCAAAGATATGTGGCCAAATTCCTCATAGCCATCTCACTACATGTCAAAATAATCTCTACTGATACAACTGCAGTAAGTATCTCAGTACCTATATCCTCACACTCTGGTGCTTTTACTCCTACAGGGCAACTTTCTAGGGGTAGCTGTGAGACAGGCCTGGGACCTGGGAACCTTTGCTACAATGCTGCAAAGCTTGCACCTGGACACCTCTCCTTAAGCTATAAATACAAAGAAACTATATGGGACTAAAAATAACTGCTTGCATGCTAGGGCAAATTCTGGACCCAAAAGATACAAAGAAACCAAAATAACCAACTGCCACTTTTGAAGAGCCTGGAGCAAAACCAGGGTGCTGCGCATGCCCCCTGCACACAGCACCACCTAAGGGGTGGGCAAACCACCTACGCCGCCCCTCCCGTCCGACCCTTGGACACACCCCTACCCTCACCCCACATAAGGAACCAGCTCGTTGGCCCTCCGAAAGCGAGCAAGCAAGCAAGGGAACCTATTGTTTGTTCTCACTCCCCCCTGCTACAGCAGGGGCCCCAATAAAGCCTTGCCTGAATTTCTTGTCTGGCCTCTGATCAATTTCTACTGATTAAGGAGGCCAAGAACCCTGGTCTGTAACAGCTAGTTGGATCAAAGAATACTTTTTGCACATTTACTTAAAAAGCATTCTGGCCTCCTATAAACATAGCATGCAGAAAAATTAGTCACTCAAACCCCGGCCACTGGGATTGAACAGTTTGCCACATTTGTTTCAAATCTCTGTTTCAAAATTAATTCATTAGAGAGAAAACTAAACTCTACCCCAATCTCTTTTTCCATTTTCCTCTCCAGAAGTATATCATCCCTACATGTGCTGTGTACTTTTGATGCATGAGTGATTCCATGGAACATATATTACTAATTGGTGACTTTTAAAAATTTGCAAGAATGGTATCATATTGTACATATTCTTTTGCATCTTGTTTTTCTGTAATAACTAATATTATAATTAAAAAAAAAACTTTTCGCCTCACAGCATGGCATGAGGGATTCTTAGTTCCCCAACCAGGGATCAAACCTGTGCCCCCTGCAGTGGTAGTGCGGAGTCTTAACCACTGGACTGCCAGAACAGTCCCAATATTATGATCTTTGATAAGACCTACTGCTGTCCTGTTCAATAGAGTAGTCAATAGCTACATGTAGCTATTTAAATTGAGATTAATTTTAAGTGAAATTAAAATTTCAGTTTCTTGGTTGCACCAGCCACATTTTAAGTACTCAAAAGCTACATGTGGGGACTTGCCTAGCGGTCCAGTGGGTACGACTCCACGCTCCCAATGCAGGAGGCCGAGTTCCATCCCTGGTCAGGGAACGAGATCCCGCATGCATGCCGCCACTAAGAGTTCACGTGCCACAACTAAAAAGATCCCACGTGCCACAACTAAGACCCAGCACAGCCAAAATAAATACTTTTTTTTTTTTAAAAAGCTACATGTGGCTAGTAGCTACTGTATTGGATAGCAGAGATACAGAACATTACCATTATTAAACAGTTCTTATTTTTTTTTTTTTTTTTTTTTTTTTTTTTTTTTTT